AAGTTGATCTGTCAACACTATCGTTATCTTCAGGGCAGATGTTTTTATTTTATTCAGCTTATAATTCCTTATTAAATGTAGTATTTCATCTCGATGTACTTCGTCTTTGATATGGTTTAAATCAAATTTCTCATCATTATAAATATCACGAATACAAATCAAATAGTTTTCTGGTTGCAATTTTCTAATTTCGGCTATGCATAATGTATGCTTTACGCATGCGCGCGTTGAAAGAAATGTTTAATAAAGTAAACAAATAAATATTAAGCTTTTTTTTTTTTTTTTTTTTGTAAATTTTAATACCCTTTAGATCATAATTGCTCATTATTTTATAAATTACGGTTTTATAGTTTTAATTTTATAATTTCTGCATACCATCTTACCAGATTTAAACTTATGATCTATTATCCTGAAAAATCGATAATCCGGAATCACCGAAGTCCCGACGAGTTCGGATTAAAGACTTTTGACTGTATAAGGTGAAAAAATAAATTCATTAATTACACGTGAACTTGTTTTCGAAACACGTTTCAGAAGTGCCACTCAATACAAAAGTGGCATTGATAAGCATTGATAGACAAGTGGTTTTGTACCAATGAAATAAAAGCTTGCATTTGTAAGATCAGAAGTATTAATAGTGGTGGCCTGTTTTGGTGTCTATAAAAGGGTTCTAGGTATGTGAAGATAAATTATTATTCTAAGATAACCACTCGCAGCCAGTGTGTGTGGGAGGAGGGTCTTCTTAAAGAGAAGTTCGGTTAGAGTAGATTTAAGGGTGCCCCTTGTATTTTCACGAAGTTGTTGTTTATATATCGCCAAGTTGTTTCATTTATGGTAACCTGAGTAGTTGAATGTTATGGAAACCCTATTATGACGTAATTGAATGTGTGATTGCAGTGAATTTAAATGATGGGAAAAGATTTGCAAGGGCTTGTGGTGTGTGTTGTTTAGGAAGTTTGTTGCTTGTTTTGTGGTTTAGATGGTAAAATGGCTGAATGTGGTAAGATTCATTTGAAGTTTCTGTATGATTTGGAATGAAAGAGGAAAAGAGCATTAATTGACTGGTGCATAAATAAAGGTTTGCTTAGTAGCTATTATAAGTGCCCCTTTTATAAGAAGGAAATGCGTATGGTTGAATGTCGGAGGATACCAGTACTAAAGAGGATATTTTTTACTCTTATGTTTGTGAATTTATGTGGCGATGCCAGTATACAGATTTTGGTTCAGATAATTTTAGGAAGTTTTTTGATGCTGTTAACGAATTTTATTTGACTGAAGATAGGGAAATTTCTAAATGAGGTAAGTGGATATTTCCTTTGTGTAGTGCTAAGATGAATTTCCTTTTTTATGTTATTTGATCGTTTAATTTAAAATGTAGCTTATTGAGATTATATATTTTTCGTTGGCTGCTTTGAATTTTTAGGTGAAAATATTGGGTTGGCAACTAAGTAATTGAGGATTTTTTTTAGAAAATCAAAGACAATTTTTTCATGGAACTAAATAACTTTATTCTGTAATGTATTGCCCATTTTGATCAATGACCTTTTGCCATCTTTCAGGCAGCATCATAATCTCACGTTCATAAAACTTCTGGTTTTTACTAGCAAAAAACTGAATCAGATACGATTTGACATCATCATCATTATGAAATTTTTTACCATTCAAGGAGTTTTGTAAAGATCGAAACAAAAAGTAATCAGATGGTGCAAGGTAAGGACTATATGGTGGATGTGGCATAAACATCCCAACCAAGCTCCAATAATTTTTTGCCTAAGTGACCAAAGATGTGTGTGACCTTGTATTGTCATGATAGGAATACAATACCTTTTTCCGATTTGTCAATTCGAGCCACTTTTCTTCAACTGCATTGTTTAATTTCGTTAGTTGTTCAATGTAGACATCAGAATTGATCGTTCGGTTGGGTGGTAAGAGATTCAAAGTAGACAATTCCTTTGTAATCCCAACCAAACTGATAACAAAACCTTCTTTTGATGAATATCAGCTTTTGATGTTGTTTGAGTTTGGTTCACCTAGCCTCCTCCACGATCTTTTCCGCTTGATATTGTTGTAAACAACCCATTTTTCATCGACAGTTATCAGTCGTTTTAAAAATGGATCATTTTCATTACGTTTCTTTAGTTCAAATCGCAGCTGGATCATTTTCATTACGCAAATGGCAGTTTAATGCGTTGCGTTAAATGCGTTTCTTTCAGTTCGTGAGGAACCCATGTATCGAGTTTTTGAACATAGCCAAGTTGTTTTAAGTGATTTTCAATGCATGTATGTGATACATGAAGCTTCTCTGCAATCTCACGGTGTTGTACTGTGACGATCCGAAATCGAATTATTGCTTTGATTAGGTCGTCATCATCTTCAACTGGACGACCAGAGCGTTTTTCATCTTTGAGTGAAAAATCACAAGAACGAAATTTGGCAAACCAATTTTGACACTGCCGTTCTTTTAAGGCTTCGTCACCATAAATAGCACATAACTTTTTATGAGCTTGCGATGCTTTTTTCCCTTTGCAGAAATAAAAAAGCAAAATATGACGAAAATGTTCCTTTTGATTTTCCATTTTTCAACGAACGCCAAATGAAAACTACGCAACCGATCAAAAAACGTTTTTTACTGATTGATAGAATTGCTAACTATCAAATAACAAAATGGTTTTTACATTTGAACTACGTCTGTAACCTAAAAATTCGGCTGAAGCCATCTATGAATGAAATCCGCAATTACTTAGTTGCCAACCCAATAGATCGATGTGTGCATGGGCAATGTCAAAGAAGTGTGTAATTCTCTGATGTTTCTTTAAGTGAAAGTTGGTCGTTGTGTACATGGATGCTGAGTTTGTGGAATTCATTTATTTGTTATTTTGGCTTTATGTTGTGGTTATTTTTGGCATGAAATTGAACAAATTCGGTATCCACATGTACCGCCAAAAATCTGCAATTTTTGCCAAGGGGCACCTGTAAATATATATTTACCAGAAATTCAATATAGTGTTTATTTATGATCTTAGAAATATTGGTAAATTTCAGAATTAGTTATGTGAAGTTGGGTGGCTGTCATGACAGGGTTTATTTTATTTTGAATATGAAGAATAAAGGACAATGATGAATATGTTCTGATAAATATATGAGAATTGGATGCGGAGCAGAAATCAAAATGGTACGTGCTATAATAAATGTATTTTTTTTAATATGTTGGATGCCATAAAATTTAATTTATTTAAAGCATATTTATTTCAAAAAGAACACAAGATCAGCAGAGTGCTTGCTGTTAATCATTTTGAAATTGTATATTATTCCACTTTGGAATTATGGGTGTGAAGGCCTCATGATTGTGCAGACAGAAAACATGTGGAATAAATGTAACTTTTGTAATTATTTTTTGTTCTTTTGAAAATATATTATTCCCAAAACATGATAGACAAACTTTTGAGACCATACAGTTGTTGCGTTGTCATAAAATGCTTTTAGAGGTTGCTCATGCATGTTTGGTAATAATCTCTTGTATGAGAAATAATACTATGAATGGGAATATCTTGTATGGCTTTTCATACCACTTCCCTCTTCACAGTTTAAGCTTGAAATTACTTCATCAGTGTATTTTACGGTGAACTCTTTCATGTATCTGAACAACATTTTCATGAAGACGAAGTAAAATGTAGTGCTGAAAGATAATTAATAAGTGTTATGAGAAAATTAGATTTCTTCTGATCTTCCATGTCTTTTCTTCTATCATATGCTTAGTTAGCAGTGTATCTTCACAGAAAAAATTGCAGCATTTTTATGTTTTGAATTGAATGGAAACATTTTCAGGATTTATGGAGAAAATGTCCGATACCTGTCGTATGAAAGAAGCAGATTGGAGCAAAAGATAAAAACAATTGGAGATCGGATAATTTTATGATAAAATTGCAATTAGTGCAATTTTTTTATCATGTGTTTATGGTTATCGTTGATTGCAAATTTGCTTTGAGAAAATACCATCAGACTTCTTTCGATCAGTGTAGCTTAAGCCACAATCAGAACTTTAAACTGTTTAAAAAATTATGTGATTGAGAATCTGCAAGTTTTGCGATCTTCCAAATTCTAATTTGAAACCCAATTTGATAACAAATGAAATTCCCTTTGCTTCTGTTTACAAAAGTGATTTGTGATTGTTGGATGCATATTTAATATTTGCATTCCTTTTTTTTTTCTTTGTATATTTTATTTCCTCACTGCTTAATTTTATGTTATAATTTTTGCAATAATCTTGTTACTGGCAACGTGCTTTATTTACTATTAAGTTTGTGTGAGTGGCAACAGTTGTTCATGTTTATGTTTCAGTAGAATAGCGTTCTTAGCCGCACTGCGCTGCAGGCAATTTTTCTCTTAAATATTTCATCTTTTAGAATAACAATAAAGTTTATTATACAAAGCTGATGCTTTTTAGTTCAAGGCAACTAGTGATTTTTTTTTTTTTTTTTTTTTTAAAGCAGAATTACAGTTTTTGTTGCCATATCTTTAAAAGTTTTACCTGTTTTACTGATTACATTTTTACTATATAACACTTTGCTATTGATTTTCTTCCTGTTTTAAATAGAAATATGACAGTATTGCTGTGCAAATGCATGACTAAACACTATCCATCAGATCTTTGCAGATGTTCCCTTAAAAAAATAGTGAGGAATTTATTTTAAAATAGTTTTCAACATACTTATATATTTATCTTCATGCTGTTTTGCAGGTTTTCAGAAACCTTTTAAAATAACTTTTGTAAATATATATATATTATATTTAAACTGACTTGTTTAGTCTACGATTCCTTTGAGAAACCTTCAAATTGGATAAACAACAAAATAAATGATACTGAAAAATTCTAATGTACTGAGTAGAAAGATAACTTGATGTAACATCTTGCGCTGTTGTTACATAGATATATTCTTAATAACATATAAATACTTTGTTTATAATTTTTCATGGTGTAATTAATATATTATGTGTTTTAGAAAGTTCCTGGTTGAGCTTCATTAGAGACAGCATGCTTCGATCTTCAGGAATCATCGATAAGTGCAAACAATATATCTTTACCTTTGATAAATCTGAAAAGAAGAAAAGAGTAGAAAGGTAGAAGAAGAGGAAACTTTCGTTGCCAGTAAATAGTGCAAACTCGTCATCTTTCAAGTTGAACCCGAAGAATACAAGGTAATAATTGAGATTCTAAATTTTGCTATATGATGAAGAAAATTGCTTTTTTAAAAATATCAGTTATGCTTGCTACTAGTTATCACTATAAAGTTATTGATAAGTGGATGATCCTTCTAATTAATAGCATATATTAATTGTTTATGCATACATATGTTTGTATGTGTGTTTAAAATCATGAACATCTAGATATGACAAATAAAATTTTCTGTTTGTAGATACTATTCCGTTTTGAGGACCGTAAAAAAATTGCAGCAAAAATATATGCGCAAAAGCGCCAAATCTAGCAAACGCGCCCATTTAACAGCGCGCCAAATCTAGCATACGCACTGATTTCAGATTGCATAAGTTTATATAGTTCTATATTTCTTAAGGCGCCATTGAAATACTAGTTTAATTTTTAAATCCTTTTTTGATATCCTATGGATTTAACAATTTGGAAATTGCCCATGACTAAGAGTCTGTGACAGAATTTTGGGTAAAGAATCACCAATCATGTTTTTAAGAATTGCATATGCTCCATATCCATGTACACATCAACCGATTTTCACTAAAAAAAAAAAAAAAAAAAAAAAAAAAAATCCCAGAACTGCACAAAAATGGCACTGTGCCCACCTTGACTTTATCTATGTACACATTGACCTATTTTCACTTAAAAAGTAAAAGAAAATGGACAAAAATCCAGTTGTTTTTACCTGTGTAAAAAGTGGCAAACAAATAAGTGGGCGATTCTGCATTTTACCGAGAATTTTTTCAAAGAAAAGGCATTATTCATTATATAAAATTATGCTTGAACAACCAACGAGATGAAATTATGCTTTAGCGATAACTCAGTAGCGAAATAGCGATGCAGGCTTCCATTCAGTTATGTTTAGCAATTTTTATATAATAAATTATAATAATGATCTGAAATAGTTATTTACTATTACGCTTCCATTCAGTCATGTTTAGCCTTTTTCATATAAGTTATAATAATAAAAAGTATTATATGAAATTAACCTTTCATCTCGATTAAAATATCAATCTTAGGTAGTTATTTACTATTATACTTCCTTTCTTGCGTTAGGGCTGCCACAATTATTTTTGGCAGCACTGGCATCAACAATAGTTTGGCGATTTTTTATGGCCCTTAAAACTGAATAGTACCATAAAATGATATATATATGCACAGTGTGAAAATAAAACACACAGTTTTATTCTGTGAAGATTCCAGACATATTTGGCTTTTAAGTTTTGGTTCATTTTGATTTTTAAAAGAGCCATTTTTATTCAAGTCCTGCAGGATGGAAGGATAGGAGATGCCCAAACTGGGTCTTCCCATACACTTCCCTGAAACAGTGATATAGCCCTCTTGTTTATCAAAACATTCAATGATTTACCATTAAGGATTTATAAGTTTTGACATGTTCAGAGGTAAACATTTTGTAATTATGTCGTAAATATAAGTATAAATGTATATATTTTCTTATGCTACAATATTTCAGAGTTGTAACTATATTAAAGAATGCATTTTTAAAGAGCATTTCATTCTAAACTGAATTAAATACTATACTTTTCCAGTACTCAGAATACTTTTAATTTGAATGAAATGTTTCCATAAGTTTTTGCATATTACATTAGAAAAGAATTTTAAGGTAATTCGATTTTGTTTCGTCAACAAGTGCAAAAATTAAAATCAAAGTTTACTTTATTATTGATTTAAAATCATGCGTTATTTCTTTTATATTGACAGAGCCTCCTTCTGAAATAATTTTTCAAATATCAGATGATTTTCTTTTTAATGTAACCCAGCTTCTGAGGCATCTTTAAAACCAAAAATCATAGTCATGCTGTTTGTTTCATTTCAAATTAGAGCACCTTTTATTTAAATAGTTAAATGTGTTAAATATTGATGCCAATTTCTGATTTCCATGTACTTTCTATGAGAATTTTGGGAAAGTATTAAAAAAGAGGGTTATTAATATTATTTAAAACTTGTAACTGAATTATTATAACATGTAAGGAAATCATTCTTTTAATACTTATCAGATTTTTTTTATCCTTGAATTCAACAATACACATTTTAAATATTCTACTGTATTATAGGTATGTGTTTCATAGACCGTGCTTTATGACACCTTTTAAGAGATTGCTTATTAGTATTAAAAATTCTTGCTTAAATAGTTTTATAAATATATTTTTCAACAAAATTTTAATTTGTTTATAATTAAATGCTGCGAACATTATGTATCTAGATAATATTTGTAATCATTATAAATTTAGGTGCATTTAATAACTATATTTTTTCACAGTAACATTCACAGAGTTTATCAATGAATAAATCCTTGATTTCCAAATATGTTTTAAAATAATTTTATAAATATTTATGTTTACATGTTGTACCCTATTTATAAAATTTAACTTGACCTATTTGGAACATAAAATAAAAGTGGAAAATACGTTATCAAGGACATCAAAAGAAATGTAAAAATTTTAATGCTTTTACCAGTTAGTTATAAGGAAATTGAGCCTTAAAGTCTTTTTTTTTTTTTTTTTTTGTGATATTTGCATATTTTTAAGGTATTTTATGCTATTTATCATTCTTCATCCATAACAGAAACATTTTGCAAAATTCTATATTTTTATAATCCAGTAGCTTGGACTTTTATAAAACATTAATAATCAAAGTTGTTGCAAGCTATCAAAAGGTTGCCAAGATGTGATTTGTGCAGAAATGCCATTAAACTATACAAACTGCTATTGCCCATCCAGCAATGAATGTTTCTTTGCACAAAAGTGTTCCTGCTTTTCAACTTGTGTGAAATTGTACTGTGCAGAAGTACCATTAAGTCACTGTCAAGGTACTGTGTTCCAGATGTAAGCAAAAGTGCCACACCCCCTTAGACTATCAAAACTTTGCAGCACTGCATCAATCCTGGTGCAAGGAAGGTGTCTCTTATTCCTTCCTCTGCAGCTAAAATAGATAAAGTTATGGAAGTCTAACAGTTTTGCTTCACATTAGTTTTGTTGTGTTTATTCGTTGGAAGGGCTGGTTGCTTGAAGTTTCTTTTCCCTTTAATCACATTCACATTTTCCCTTGGTTTTCCATGGCTGAAAAAAATCAGCCAGAATTAGGAAACTGCTTTTTGAGCTTCAGAATTTTTTTATATCATTATAATCTATGTTTTGTTCATTATATCACTATTATTCTTGTACTAGCCTTACTTATAAGCTTGAAATAACTTTTCCTTTTCTTTTTTTAAATATTGCTTAGCTGCTGCAAGATTTGCTTTCACATCTGTAAATTTAGATAGGTTCTGAAACCGACTTTCTGCTCACATGAACTAGAAAAATAATTATTATTTAGAAATAATACAAGAAAATTTGATTTAAAGTGGGAATTAAAATATAAAGTTTAATTCCCACTTTAAATCAAATCTGTATAAGACAGAACAGTGTTGCTATTGCATGCTGTAATTTAGTTTGTAATTTTGAGAGGATAAATTTACTCTAATTCTACTGAACTTTAATCTTTGGTATGTTACTTAGTTAATCAGAAATGAAACATAGCAGTCTACCATACAAGATTTAACATATTGCAAATGGTATCAGGATAAAACAAGATTTTGGAATGATGTGTTCGCAACGTGCTTGGCAAGTTCTTCTATACCAGGGAAAATTGGCCAGAAGAAATTGTTACTTATTTAACATAATTACTTTTTTATTTTATTCGCTTATAACATTATTAGATACTAATATTTTCATTCTGTATTTAAATTGTGCCTCATTTATATGCTTGTAGTAACCATCAGTGGCATATGGGTATACATTTTTGACATCTCTCAGTCTGGGTGGATTTTGAAATTCAGTTTTGATTTATAAAGCTAACAATTGAAAATTAACATATTCAGAAAAAAATGGAGCAGAAGGAATGAATTAATTAGTGCTAAAGACTAAATCTGCATTATCTTTGAAAAACATATCATAACAAATTAGAATTTTTTCCACTCCACATTTCTATTTTGTAATTTTGAATGGATAAAATATAAAAGAAGAAAAAAAATTGTTGCAGTGACACGGAGCGTGAAGGACAGTTCAGATGTTTCTCAAATTTATTACATTATTCATGTTACATTTCTCAAACTGTATGCACTCATTTCGACCTTACAACAGAATGTAATGCATTGCAAAAGCATTGACGAAGTATGATTTTTGGAAATGTTGAGCTCTGTATTTGAAAAGTATCATAAAAAGTGCTATATCATTATCCACCCCTCCCAAGTTACTTGCTGCTTCTTGTTAGTCAGAACTTAACCTCTTGCCTTATATCTGTAATGACTCGAGATTTTACCCTTCACTACATTTCTGGGAAAAAAAAATTTAATTAATTTGCATTTGAGTGCAGATTACAAAATACATCAAAAGTTTCAATCCGACTGTCGGGATTAGGCGATTCCGATTAATAACCTCATTTAAATCTGGTGATGTAATGCGAAATATAAAATTAAAAATAAAAACCGTAAACTATGTAATAACGAGCAATTATGATCTAAAGGTATCAAAATTTACGAAAAAAACTTTATATTTATTTGTTTACTTTATTAACATCTTTCAACTGCGATGCGCAAAGCATGTATTACGCATCGTAATTAGAAAATTGCAACCAGAAACTATTGATGTTATCGTGTATTTATAATGAATTGATTAAATAATCAAAGACAGATACATCGAGAGAATCTACTTAGTATGACTTAAGCCGAATAAAAAAAACATCTTCCTTGAATATAAGGATAGTGCGACCGATCATTCAGTCATTGCCTCCGCTCGTCCCCCCCTCGCGACAGCGTGAATGATAAACGATTCGGAATGATTAGAGAACAAAGGAGATGCTTTATCCTTTTTTTTCAGCACTTCGCTTTTGTTTGATGACATCGAACATGTTTTCGTTTGTAGATCCTTTGTAGCTCCAGAATCGGAAATCTTTTTGCATAATCGAAATTCACGCTAACTTTTATA